CTTCTTATGTGTATATTTTTCCAATTCATTTGTCTTAATCAACCTGATATAATTGCAACTTTCATGAAAGTGATGTCCGGGTTTGTGAATGGGGTCACACTGAAGAGCAGAAAAAAGCTGTCTTAATGGTAGATTTCAACATATTTGCTTCTCCCAAACATGGTGTATAGATTTGGTTTAGTATGTTTAGATTTGTTGTGCGTGCGTGAATGTCGTGGAAAGCTCTGATAATGGCTGGCGACGTGGAGGCGGCGGCTGTGGACAAAGTCACTGAATGTAGGTTCATCTTTTTCTCCTCCTTTAATATTATGAGCATGATTAAATTGAATCTGTTGGTAACAAATTGTGATTTAATGGCTCTCTGTATTCGCTCTCTGTATTCGCATCGTGATTTAATGGCTCTCTGTATTTGCATTTTTTGTTCTGCATGCTTTCTACTAATTTAGTCTGCTAAGGCTCTAATGCAATGATAACCATATATGAATGGAGATGCAGTTTTTCTGCAGAAACTCGGCATTTTCGTCGACATAATAAACTAGTACTGCTATGCATAACAATCTCATTGGCTCATAACTAACCCTTGGCATTTTTTTTTCTCTTGCAGTCTCATATATGTACTTCAAGATGAGAATTGATTGAACCTGTAGGATCACGGCTCGGTGTTATATATCCATGCTACTGTATTTCCTAATTACTTGCAATTGACACTTACTTTATATTCCTCCTTCCCTGACACTAGATTTTAAAGGAGCAAGAGGTTTGAAGAGCAGCGTGTTGGAAAACGAAAATACACTACACGAAATGCGTCGTTGCTTCCATTATCTGAGGTGAATATCTTGTTGATACACTGGGATTTGGTCACCCGAATTTGAGAAAAAAAACAAAACAGTTCCTTGCACACAATATTTCCAGAGGTTTCTGCTTCAGTGTTCCTTTATACTGATTATAGTTCTTTATATATGTATTTATAATTTGGACTCAATGGTGTTACTATTTCACCTTCAGATCTAGACAATGGTGAAAGGCTATGCACCTGCAAACTATTATTGTTTGCATCTTGGTGAAACAGGTTGCATTGTGAAAGGGGGCTATGACAGATGCATTCTATCTTCAAAGAGAGTGATGTTAGGTATGTTCAGATTAGTTAGATCATCTTGTTTCACAAGCAAATTCAAATGATACATTCATTGAATAAATTTTTAAACATAATTCTTCGAATTCCTATTAGTCTTCAAAGTAATCAAATGATTACATATTCCTTTATGCATTCGAAAACATATTCAATTAAATGACATCCATGAACTCATCGTCTTCCTCCAACACCGCCATAACCTCTGGCGCAAGGCAAAGCTCCACATCGACCCCATCCCCTTCGGCCGCCGTGAAAAGCATCACTCTCCCATCCCATTTCACGGCCTTTCCAGTCCTTACAGCCACCGGCTTCCCCAGCCCAATATTCCCCATGCCTCC